TGTTTAAAATATATATATATATATATATATTTAGTACAAGGTCTACAGGGTCTCACTACACAGTCAAACTTGTAGTGTGTATTAGCTACTCTTCTCTCATTGCTGGGACAAATACCTGACACCCAAAATGAAAGAAGGAAAGGTTTATTTAGCTCACAGTTACTGGAGGTTTCAGTCCATACTCGGCTGCCTCCAAGGCAGAGGGGAATAGGGCAGAGAGCAGCACTTCATGGTGGCCGAACAGGAGCAACAAGGAGCAATGACTACAGAGTCTGTCTCTGTCTCTTGTATTACATTCAGGCTCTCTGTCCCAGGCTAAGGGAAGTACTCACACTGATAATCCCAGCAGTACTAAGACCCATAATCCCAGCCTTGGATCACACATAATCCCAGTGGATCATGAGTTAATCATAAACTCTAGAAGTTCCCACCCCATGACTGCATGATGCTTTGGGGGAACAACTAGACACAGACTATAACATTGTGATTCTCCTGTTTTCAGCTTCCCAAGAGTTGGGATTATAGGTGTGCGCCACCACACCCAGTCTCAACCGCCATCTCAGGGAGCTCCAGGTGCGAGGCTGGCATCGGCATGCCTGGGATCGAACCCCAATCCATGCATCTACCTAATCAGGTGCTTTAACCCACTGAGCTATCTGGCCAGCCCAGGGAAAGAATTTTTAGGCAGAGGACACAACACATTGTACAGCCGGAGGCACCCCAAAGTGAACCCACCTCCTCGCCAAGAGCTGGAGCCAGCACTGTTGCTGTCCCTGTCGTGGTCCCCGGCTGTGTGGGCCCCTGCCTGGATGTTGCAGCCATGTTTATAGGTTGCCTCCCTTTCTCATTGCTTTTTTCATTGCTGAGACAAAACACTAGACACCCAAAGTTAAAGGAGGAAAGGGTTATTTAGCTCATGGTTTGTGGAAGATTCAGTCCATAGTTGGCTGGCTCCAAGGCAGGGTGGTGTGGCAGAAGAGCATCATGGAGGAGAAACAGTTCATGGCAGGCAGAAGGCAGCAAGGCAGCAATGTAGCCAAGAGGCAGCAAGAGACTAGAGCAGGCCTCTTCCTCTCCCCTGCAGGTCCTTAGGATGGGTGGCGCACATACTCAGGGTGCGGCACTCTTAACCCTAGTGTCACACCATGAAGCCCAGCATCATCATGCACCCTAGATTCAGCCAGCTCCAAAAAGCCTCACCTGTGGCTGTGTGACAGTTTGGGGGACATCTGGACACCAGCCATGACAGCCCACAAGGCAGCAGGGTATCTGATGTGTCTCTGAGATGGCTGGAGGAGTGTGAAGCCCAGGGAGAGAAGGGACAGAGCAGTCAGAGCAGCATTTTGGAGGAGAAGAGTTTGAATGTTTCGTTTAACTCAGTGAAATGGAGACCCACCAAAGGGTTCTGAGTAAGTTAGTAGCAGGGGTCGGAACTCGGGCTTTCCTCGGATCGTTTCATGTGTGACAGGAGAATAGAAAGAAGGCAAGTGCAGAATCCGAAAGACCAATTAGGGACTCCTCCATCGCTGAGACGAACACGTCCTTGTTAGGCCCAGTGCAAACAGGGATGAACCAACCCGAGAATCTGCCCAGCGCTGTGGTTCTTGAACTTTACCATGCAAATAATTTCCAGGAGTACTACATTAAAATGCACATTGCAGACCTCATTTCCGTAAATCCTGATTTAGAAGTTTGGGTTGTGGGATTGGCGTCTGTAATCCCCCCCAAAAAAAACCCCCATGCCTTTGAAGCAGGAGCTCTTAGAATATCCTTGGGGTTTGAATTAACGTGATGAATTAAGGGATAGAACTTTCCCCAACGTGCTTCTCAAGAAAACCTTTTTTTTTTTTTTTTTTTAGCGGTTCTTATCCCTTCCTGCCCCGCAAGCCTTAATAAAAAACGGAGTCCTCCCTCTGCCTCTGCCAGTGTCCCAAGAGAGGCCTGAAGGGGAAATCAGTTCTAGAGAAGCGGGGAGGGCACCCCAGGCGGGGAAGGCTGGGCCCGAGAGACAAAGGGCGGCGGCCTATAAAGGCTGCGGCGGCGACCAGGCGGGGGCGCACACGGCCGGGGACCGCAACAGGGACGGCGACGGCGCGGGCTCCTGTCCTTGGCAAGGAGGTGCGTTGCCTTTGGTGTGCCTCGGGCACCACCCAGCCCGGACTCGTGGGATCCGCACCTCTCTCCTAAGTCCTCCGAGTCCGTGCCGCACTCGCTCCAGGGGGCCGTGACGTGGTGGCGACTTGGTAGCAGCCGCCGCGGTGACTCACCCGGATTTTCTGGGGACTTTTCTCAGGCACTGGCACCTAGCCAGCTGACAGGAGAGGCGGCGCTGTGCGCTCACCGCAGTGCAGCTCCCGGGGCTCCAGGTTGCCTTTGGGTCTCAATGAGCGACCTCGAACACTCTGGTAGAGTCAGGGCGAGGCCTTGCTAGGAAAAGCCAAGTTACGGAAAGCAAAAGGACAAGGTGGGAGGCAGAGCGGCCAAGGCAGCCTGCAGGCTGAGCGAGGGGTCTTCACCTCAGGTGCGGGGCTGCTGCAGGGCCAGGCGCTGAGCTGCCTTAGAGCAGGCCGCCCCCAGGGCAAGGCTGCTGGTGAAGCGAGCTCACCCAGAGGTTTTCCAGAGAGCGGTATCCACAGCAAGTGCACTGATGTAATACAGCCCCAGGAACTGTGCAGGTGAGAAGTTAGCTTGCATAATAATGCGCATACATGTAAGAGTGTATGTATGAGTGTGTATATGAATATACATACATTCTCTCTGTGGCTCGGGAATCAGATAGACTGGGCAGGTGAAGCGGTGCCTTCTACCCCACATGCACTTTTTGCCTCTTAAATGCGCATGTGTTATTTCTATAGTAATTGCAAAAGGTAATACGGTGCCTAGTGCTGGTGGTTGGGTTCCTTCCCCAGTCTGTCTGTATAGATCAATCTTCATCTCTTTTTCCTGGAGAGTACTTTCATTTACTTTTAAGAGAAAGATGAGAGAGAGAGAGAGAGAGAGAGAGAGAGAGAGAGAGAGAGAGAGAACCAAAGAGAGGAAGAGAAATCAAAAGCTTTATGGAAAAGAGCTGATTAAGTCCACAGGTTTGGGACAGTCCCGGGAGGAATGCAACCTGTGGGTCTGTCCTCTACCCATTTTTGTGGACCTGGGCTTTATGTTTAAGAACACTGCTACCAAAGAACAGCTCCTGCTGGTGGCACAGGTCCTCCTCTGTGGGTGCACACGTGTCATTCTTTTCTCTAGGAATATGTAACCTTCAGTGGTGACAGTAGAAACAGATGTTTCTGCTGTTTTTACTGTGACATTCCTCCAGGTGGTCTAAAGAGGAGGTATACAGAGAATTCAGGGGTTGTACAAATTTGGATGGAGAAAAAGTAGAATGTAAGTCTACTATCCTTTAATATAAATATAGCATTGCCTTTATTTACAACTATGGGTAATTAAGTATGTAATATTAGCACGGTTTTAAATGAAGTAAAAAGTCCTGATGCCTGTCTTCCAATAATGATTTTATTTTTTTCTATTTAACTTTCGTTTTCTTTCTTTTTGCAGTGCTGAGGATCAAACTCAGGTTCTCATGCATTGCTCAGACTAATGATTTTAAATGCGTCAATTAAAATTATCAATTATGTTTGGTAGTTATTAATATGCTACAATTTAAAAGACAAAACAGAGGTCAGGGAGATAAGTCGGTGGTCTAAGCACCTGCCTGGCAAGCACAAGGACTTGGTTCAATCCCCAGTACCACATGCCATGCTAGCCTTTGTGCAAACCAGGTGTGGTGGCACATGCCTGTAATCCCAGTGCTGCGGAGGCTGAGATAGGAGGATCACTGAGATGAGCAGTGAAATCCTGTACCAAATAAATAAATAAATAAATAAATGATTTTTTAAAATAAAATGAAATACAACACAGTAGTACAGTATTGTATTGAGATAAGGCTCACCAATAGAAATCATAGACATTACATCTCACATCACAGATACAGCTGACCTTTTGAAAACAATCATTAAAATATCACTTTAAAATTAATGATTTTAAATGCATCATTCTGAGACAGAAACCATTATTTTACTTTTGGTTTGAGAGGATTGTCTCTAGGCTTTCCCACACTGCGGAAAGGGTCCAAGGAACAAAGCAAGGTTTTGAACCCTGACCTAATGGGGGTCCTTGATGACATTGGAGATGTATAAATAACCGCCCTGGCTTGGGACTCCAGCCCTTGCACTGATTCCCTGTGTGCCTAAGTGCTTTTCCCTTGTCTTGACAAGCATCTGTGGCATCTGGTATTTTCTTTTGTAGCTCTTACCTTACCCTAAGTCGGGATTAGCAGCAATCAGTCCTTGCAACTGGAAAAACACTAAATGCAGTTTTCCTTTGATTTAAGAAGTACTTCTGTAATTTCCTAGTGACCTCCACTTTGAGCTTTCCCAGCTTGTTAAATCACTGATTTCTATTTCCCCCGTAGAGAAAGAGAGTAACACACTTGAGGATAAATCAACAAGTAATTATTAAGCACCCCTCGGCTGGCAGGCTAATTTTACAGCCAGTCTTCTCTTCTGTTTTTTTTTTTTTTCCTGTCTGCTTCTACTGCAGTGGGATGGAGCCCTCTTAGAGGAGAACACTGCAGTCAGTTTATCCTGCCAAATCTTTTTCCTCCCAGCTTGAAGTAGACCTCCTCAGGGTCTAGAGTTGACCTAGTGAATGAGCTAAACCCTCTTTTGATAAGAGAAGCTTGAAAGTAACTTGGCTCCCACAGTCCTGATTGGCTCCGGTGTGAACAAAACTGGGTAGTTTTCTCTTTAAAACCCCTTGATTCAGAATATTCACAATGACTTGGGTTCGATCAAAGGCAGGGCATTATGCTGTGCCAGAGCAGAAGGAGGTCTGGGAGGTCACTTGGTCCACCCCCTCACATCTTAGAAGGGGACATAGCCTGCCTGGAAGCCTCTGACATGCCTGGGTAGGTTCCAGTTTTTTGCTCCTCCAGCCCATGTTTTTCTCTTTCAATGTCCCGATGACCCATCAGACAGCAAAATACAGCTGCTCCTCAGTGTATGATGAGGTTGCCCCCTTATAAATCTACCATTAGCTGAAAAATGTCAAAATTGAAAATATACTTAATACACCTAATGTAGTGAACATTGTAACATAACCTAACTGAATTTAAATGTCCTTATAAGACTTATGGCTGGGAAAATCATCTAAGCCTATTTTATAACAAAGGATCGAATATCTCATGTAATGTATTGAATGCCTCTATACAAAAAATGCTGGCACACAGTACCGGAAGGTTGCCCTAGCAGTGGTGTGACTGACTAGAGCAGCTCAGTGTCACTGCACATTGGTGTCCCCATCCACCATCTCAGGAGAGCGTTACACTGTGCTGCAAAGCCTCCTACTCAGTCTGGCCTTTTGGAAATGGGGGAAGAGAGCTGTTTTTTAGAGACCACGTAGACATACGTGAGCAGAGCATAGACCTTGCGCTTGCCAGGCAGGCGCTTGTACTGCTGAGCTATATCCCCAGCTCTTTCTTTTCTTACTAGAAGAAAGATTCTGTTTCTTAAAATTTATTTTAAAAAGAGAATAACCATAATTGATAAGGCATTAGAGATGGTACCCATTTAGCAGAACAAGAGGAGAAGTATTTAACTGTTTTTGTATTGCACATTGCTGTCTTTGATGTAGTTGCTCAGACTATAGATAATAACTATGTGTTTACGCTTTTGTTTTTGTTTATACTCTTTAAAATTAAATTTTTTTAAAAAAGAAAGATTCTAAAAATCAGAAAACTGAAACGGTTTTCCTAAAATCTCAATGGGTAAAATCTGCCGCTGCAAGTTCTTGGCAGAACATTTGATATCATTCGGGGTTCTTATAAGGTCTTGGCCTTTCTGTCCCATCCCAGAAACAGAGACATGACCAGGAAGATCTTCACGAACACCAGGGAGCGGTGGAGGCAGCAGAATGTCAACAGTGCTTTCGCCAAGCTAAGGAAGCTCATCCCCACTCACCCTCCAGACAAAAAGCTCAGCAAGAATGAAACGCTTCGCCTGGCCATGAGGTATATCAACTTCCTGGTCAAGATCTTGGGGGAACAAAGCCTGCCGCCTCCGACGGGAGTGGCTGCTCAGGGGAACATTCTGGGCCTCTTCCCTCAAGGAGCTCACCTGCCAGAACTGGAGGATGACACTGTACTCAGTGACTACCAGGTGTCTTCACCTGGCCCAAGCCACCACCTTCCATAGGGTGGCTCTGGCAGCCCCACCCGCACTCCCAGAAGCACTTGCTCAGGAGTCACTGGCAGAGGACAGCCCTGGCGTGTTCCAGAGTCACACTGAAGAATAGTTTCTGAGGTACGGATCTGGGCTTCGTGGGCGATGGCTCAGGGACAGCTGCCAAAGCTGAGAAAAGCCCATAGAGATCCTCACCCAGATTCCATCCACAGCTGAGACTTCGGACAGAACAGCCTGCTTCTCCTGTTGTATAAATCCAGGTTAGGCATAAATATTTGCAGAAGAAAAAAAGGTTTAAAAATCTACCATTTTAATCTTTGTCTTCAATAATAAGAAAGGAGTTTTCTCAGAATAGATCTCACATGAATAAGCAGAGTGTGTTTTTCTCAGAACATATTTAAATGTTTTGAAAAATGAGACTATTTGATCAAAGGCAAACAAAATAAATCTTAAGATTGATGAGTGTAAAGGTAGTCCCAGCTGACAGCAGCCTGCGAGATGCGTGGGAAAATTGGTGAAGAAAGTCCCTCCTGAGGAACGGGATTACATTCCTCCTCCTGACAAATGTGTTCTTTAAATTCTACAGAAATGTGAGGTGTGTACTGATAGGGAGCCATTTATACATGTTAACTCTGAGCCAAATGGTGGATTGCATCAGTGCAAGGAGAAGGCTTGATAATTTATCAGTGAGAGTTCACGGTTTTGTTATTTTTTAAAAAGTTAGCTTTATGGTAAGTCAGCAAGCTGCTTAGTTTCCTATGTCAGGTGTTAAAATTTTTAACTCAGGCTGAGTTCCAGCTGATTTAAAACCTGTAAAATCCAATTCTAATTAGGAAAATTCAAACATTACCATTTAATGGTTCATTTAACAACTTAGTTTAATAAAAAAAAATTACAATAAACAATAGAAATATAATACCAGACACTAATGAACTAAATGAACTAATGAATTTGGAATTTGCCTTCTCTTCTGTAGAGCGGAAGCTTAATCTTAGCTGGGGTGGGGATTGTACCCCAAAAGTCATTGAAACCACATGGATCTGGCAGAATTCACTGCCACACACCATTGTGATATTGATGGTATTTGGATTCAAAGATAAATCCTTTAATTGAGCTGAAAATGCAAATAATGCCATTTAATTATCTCCTAGACATTTTATTTTCCCCAAAGTTCTTGACAGTACATTGGTTTTAAAATCTTCTGAACCCCACATCAGATATCTGTGTTTGTGAGATTAGGAATTCCACTGCCTGGATAGTGGAATTTATGATACTTTAGAAAGAAGGTATTTTATTTATGAATGCACCAAAATGAGGCTTCCTGGTTTGGTGGCGAGAAAAAAAGCTGGGTGAGTCTTTCATAATTTTATTCCCCCTAACAGCAAGGTCATCAGCTCTTTTGGATCTAAATGGCTTTTACACTTGTTACGCAGGGCTTCCTTCTGGATCCTTTGTTTAACCTGTGTCAGTGAACTCCTGCAAAGACCCAGGGTAGCTCAGGGAAACAGAGCACACAGAGAACAGGGATTTCCCTCTGAATATGCACATAGTTCTCTCCACGTCTTGGATGGATTCAAGCTTGTCCTCAAATTATCGGGTGACAGTACATTTCAGAGTTTCTAAGAGTTAGCACTTTAGTGTTATTATTCATTCTCATCTGGTCTTACATCAAAATAACACTCTTTATTTGGTGCTGGGAATCAAACTCAGGACCTTGTACTTGCCAGGCAGGCGTTGTACTGCTGAGCTAAATCCCTGGCCCTAAAATAACTTTTAACAGTATTTTTAAAATTAGCTTTATTTTAACATGTAGCCAAGGGAAACACAAAGCACCAATGTACCTGAATACGGACAAGGTTTCTTGCTGTACCCAGGATGAGTTTGGGGTCCTCTTGCTGTGGTCCTGGTCTGGGTACACAAAGAGGACCTTTCCTGACATATAAGGGAGAGGTCCTGAAAAGATGAGGAGATTGTGCTGTCATTAACTTTATGGCAGTGATAATTAAAGAAATTTTCAGGAAATTCTTTGATAAATGAATAAACTGTTACCATGTTACTCTTTGAATTTACTTCTTAAAATATTTTTTTTGCCACCTTGAACCTTTTTTTGTACATAGGAAAGTGACTGTTAAAAAGAATTATCATCACATGTGTACCAAAACCTTGATAAGATATTCAGGTGACAGGAATCTAATTCAAAAAGTGCTCTAGCATCCTCTTTGATGTCTATACTTAGCACTTGATTATTGAAGTAATAAGAATTCATAGTTTATCCAGGAATGGTGGTACATGGCTACAACCCCAGCACTTAGAAGTTGATCACTGTGAGTTTGAGTCCAACCTGGACTATGTAGTAAGTTCAAGACCAGCCTTGACTATATGGCAAGACCTTGCCTCAAAAAACAAAAAGAAATTTATGGTTCAGCCACCTGCCCGTAATTTCATCCACTAAATAGGCTGAAACAGGGGAGTCATGAGTTGGAGGCTAGGTTGGACAATGTCGCAAGGTCAAAGACAGCCTGAACTATATACTAAGACTCTTGTCTCAGACACAAAAAACAAAGTAAAAAGGAAGGGCTGAGGTAGAGCACTTGCCTAGTATGAGGGCCTTTGCTTTTCAGTACTGCAAACAAAGCATTAGAGTTCATCACTGAATGTCTTATCTGCTTATAGACCATTGGAACCCAATAGAAAATTCTAGACACAATTTTAAATCACCTAGCCTATGCTTGCCTGTTACTTGACCCAAAGTGTCTGCTGTGCTATGGGCACTACTGGAAACTTCCAGCAACCAGGTATAAATATGTCCTCTGATTTGTATAAACCATAGTTATCTGTTTAGTTAATTTCACTTCCTCATTTTGCAGAGGAGAAAACAGGTCCTGCAGGTTTTAGTGACTTCCCAAAGGTGACATGGGCAGTGATTAGGAACCCAGGACACAGAGCCCTGTCTCCTACTCCCATCCCGCCATGCCACAATCCCGTTCAGCCAGCAAGGCATTAACAAGTGAACAGATGCCTTATCATCGCAGCCGTCTCCTTTCCAAAGTGTTCAGTAAGTGTCTTCCTATTGAAATAGAATTATGGTGCTTTATAGAATGTGATTAGATGGTGTATCAACCAAAGATTTAATTTGTTGTGTTTTCTGAGTGTTTAACCATTGATTATAATTTGTTATTTAACTGTTAATTTATTACAAATAAATTATTTAAGAAAAGAAATTGTTCTTTCCTTACTATTTCATAAATTTATTAAACATCCCAAACCCATCTTTCCATGTTCCATCACCATCCTGGCTTTGACAGCCCCTTATTTCCACTGTTTTAAGGAAAAAACTCTAGCATTACCCAACATCTCTCCCCACCCCACCCACTGAACTTACCTGTGTGCTGGTTTCCTTTTTATTTCTTTGGCAGTACGAGGGATCGAGCTCTGGACCTTGTGCTTGCCAGGCAGGTGCTTAAGCCACTGAGCTATCTCCCTAGGGCCCTTCTGGTGGTTTCCTAACATCCTAATTCCCAAATCATAGTGGTAGTCAGACCATCTCCCTGCTCTAAGCCTTCAGATGAACACCATTCCCCAGCAAACGAGGCCATGTGCAGTCTGGCCCTGAGGTCCCCTCTGTTCCACAGTCCGGATGTGTGCTGCACATGCCAGTGAGCCTGACTCCCTTGATGACCCCAAATCTGTTACTGTGTTTACTTCTGACTTGATTTTGGTGATTTCAGTGCTGGGATGAAAGTTTCCATTCTTGTTGGTTCTAGTCATCTTCCAGTAGCACTACATTCCACTTGTGAAAGTCCTTCATGGCTCATCTAAAATGACGTCTCTCATACAAAGTACTCTTAGATTTATACTCAGTTCTACCTTCATCTCCTTGAATTCCATTATCTAATGTATGGCATCATTCCCTCTACCTTGTACTGTAGCCATCATTGTACATTCTGTTCCCCTAGAAAGCTAAAATGTACTTGAAGCAATAGTTTCTTTCATTTTTATTTTTGTTTCTCTTGAATTGCTGGGGATTGAACTCAAGGCCTCTGCTTTGAGCTCTGTCCCTAGATTGGTTTTTTGGGGGGTAGGGGACAGGGTTCCATTAAATTGTTAAGCAGCCTAAGATAGGCTTTCAAACTTGCAATCCTCCTGCTCTCTCCTACCAGTGCTGGGATTATAGGCATGTGTGATGGTTTCTAATATTTTCTCATCACAGCCTTCTGAAGGGTCCCTATTTTCAAAATGTGAAGCTATACCAAGATTGCCTCCTTGAAGCACAGTGGTTTTTCCTCTTTTTAAAATAACATTAAAATGAAGCTTGAGTTGGTTGAGCTTTCCAGAGAAACCCAACATCAGGTGTTCATGTTAAAAGTTTGTTTCTCATCATTTCTATTCTAGGATACCCCTTGGAGCCCCTGCCTTATAAAATTTCATCACCTAAGAATGGCCTGCAAGGGCCAAACTGTGCATAAGTTATGCACGACTGGCTTTGTTCTTAAAGAGGCAGAAGCTAAAAGGGTTCTGGAGAATGGACAGCTTAACTGCTGACCCACAGTCAAAGGACAGTCAAAAGTCACATCCTTAGATAAAAAGGTCAAAGTTATGGAGGGAATCTGAAAATCCAATGGCAATGTGAAATGAGAGATTTAAAGCAGGTGTTAGGAAAGGCCCTGAGGAGTGGATGTTGCTAAGGATTAGAGGAGGCCAGAGGGGTTGGGGCACGGTCTCCTGAGGCACATGTCTCTCCAAAGTTTACCAGAAACAGAGAGACTCTTGGTCTTATTTTTTCTTTCTTGCTAATAGCCTACCACAAAGAAGTTTTGAAGATCACCAGACTTCTATATGAGCCTTAGTTAGGTTTGCAATCTATGAGATAATATTTATTCTCAGAATTTGATTTCTAGAATTTAGCAGTTCCCTGGTAGACTAATGAAGGAAACTGTCGAATTTTCTTTATTACATAAGAATAAAAATGTAGTAAGCTGTAGTAAACATATTCATATTCTTGGACCTATGTAATTAGCCTAGTATAATAAAATGTTTGCAATTATGGTTGAAAATTATGTACATGGCTGGGCTTGGTGGTGCATGCCTATAATCCCAGCACTTAGGAGGCTGAAGTGGGAAGATTGCTATGAGTTTGAGGCCAGCCAGGGCTACATAGTGAGTTCAAGGCCAGTCTGAACTATACAGCAAGATCCTGTCTCAAAAAAAAAAAAAAGAAAAGAAAAGAAAAGAGAAAAAAAAGGATTATCACATGAACCAGGTGCAGTGACATGTACCTGTGGCCTCAGCTACTCAGAGGGCTGAGGCAAGACACCCAGGAGTTCATGGCCAGTCTGGGCACAGAGCAAGATCTTATCTCTGGTGAAGGGGTGTACACATATAAAATAATTATGCACATAATATCTCTTGTTTATTATATATATAAAATAATATTAAGAGCCAAAGTGACCAAATGCCTACTGCCAGGCCCTGTGGCAAGAGCTTCTAATGAATAGCCCATCTAATCTTCCTAAGTCTTATATGGATGTGTTATTGATGGGTTTCTGTCCATATAGAACTCTACCAAGGTCATCATGGCGATGATCCAATGTGGCATTGGACCCCCAAATGATAATGTGCCCCTCCAAGACTAACTACCCTATTCTTGTAGTCCCCAAATAAACTTCCTGTTTCCTTTTCACGCATGTGCACCAACAGCCTTCCAATCCTTTCCTACCACATTGCTTCACCTGTCCTTATAAGCTCCACCCCTAGTCCAACCCAATAAAGACCTGTTCTCTGGCTTCCTCCTCCAAGGGTCCTTGTAACCTCCAGCGGCCTTTGGGGCTGGCACCAGCAGTAAACCCTTTCTTTTTCCCTCTGTCAGTGCCTCTCCACAGTGACAAAACTCTTACAATTTTATTACTATTGTTCCCATTTCACAGGTGAAAAAACTTAAGGATGGGTTTCTAACTTGACCACATTTACACTGCAGAGCCCAAATTTGGCCTGTAGTCATTTTTACTTTAAATCACTACATTATATAGAGTAAAGCCAGAGTGGCTTTTCATGGAATTTTTATTTACATCAGAATTCTTAATTCTTTGTAATGTTAATTACTTTAATACAACCTCGTGGACCAGGTGTACTACCCAGTAACACTACTGGAAAAACAAACACTGCAACCCTTGGGAAGAAAAAGCCCCCTGTTCGGAAGCACCAGGCTGGGCTTAGTATCACTGTGGGGCTCAGTGAGACACTGTCCTACTGAGTATCAGGGCTGAGGTTCCGTGTCTATACCTGCTGTGGTGCAACATGAGACAGTTTTGTGACTTTTTTCGCCATGGCCGTCAGCCATGCTTGCCTAATGTGTTCACAATGGTGTGTGGGCCAGGCAAGGCCTGCCTCAGCTCTTCCAACTTGCCACCACCTTGGCTCCTGCAGGGCTCCTACCGCCCTGGTTTTAACTTCTCTGGAGGTGGGGAGGAAGAAGGGTTTAAAGAAATGAACACTCTTCCTAACTAGGTATGAGATTGCATTCTTATTCTCTTTGTACATTTAATGTAGAGTTTTTATGGCATTAGACCTCTTAAGATTCAGTAAGACCCTCAGTTTCGTGGTTATGGAGAGCATTTGGTGGAAGTCGAGTCCGAGCCAGATAACTTCAGTATAGTTTTTGTGTCTCTCACTAAATCAATCAAGATTTAATTCTTGTTGATGTCTGTGTGTGTGTCTACATACCTACTGCATATATATGCCACATGTTATCTCTCCACCTCTGGATCAGTGAGGGTATAATAGTGCTAGAACCTTGCCTTCTCTACACAGGTGCTGCAGGAAGACTGAGCATTGAAAGAGGTCTGCTTGAGCAACTGAGTGAGATCTTGTTTCAAAAACATAACAAAAATCAGATTCGACCCAGAGCACAGGCCCAGCATGTGAGTGAGACACCTGGAGCATACCGGATCCTCATTCGACCTGGAGCCCAGGCCTGGCATGTGAGTGAGACCGGCCAGGGCCTCCGGATCCTGATTCCACCCAGAGCCCAGGCCCAGTGTAGAACCTGCAGCAGAGCTCCCTGCAAAGAAGCTAGGGGCAAGACCCACCCAGCTGATTCAAGAACAGAACATCTTGCCAGAGTGGCACTGATGGTTCAACTGCAAGGGCTACAGCAGGAAGAAATGGACCACACAAACCAGATCCAAGCCACACCCACTTGGACAAGTTTGAACTTGGTAGATGGGGACCTGGTGCTAAGGTAATAACTCTATCTAAGCTCTACACCAAAGGTCAGAAGACAATGCTGTAGAAAATGACAAAGAGAAGGAACAAAATGCAATCTCAGGCCCTGAGCTCACCCAGAA